CATCCAGGTCTTCCACACGGATGCAGGAGCCCAAACACTTGGCCCATCCTCCACTGCTTTCCCAGATGCATTAGCAGGGAGGGACTCTGGACCAAGGCTCATCTAGGATGCCGGCGCTACAGGTGGCAGCTTTATCTGCTGTGCCACAACATCAGCCCCTTGAGAAATTTGTAAAATGGTTAAATGTATTCAGCTGAATGAGGGACGTCGCTATAATTCTGTATAGGCCTTATTTTAGGGTTGAAATCTGGGTCAGCTGTGTCTGTAGCACAACTTCCAGCAGAGTGAATACTTTTTTCTCTGAGTTTTCCCACTGACAAAAAGCATGAGTCTTTTTCCACAGGAAATTATCCTGAGCTGAAAGGGGTGCAGTGGGGTTGTATCTGGTGGGATGTCCTAGAGAACCTCCTGGCGGGTTTTAACCAGGGTTACAAGTCAGGTGCCGCCCTCTTCCTACCATATGGGCAGGTCTTCAAAAAGTTCAGGGAAACGTGATTTTTTTTTTCCATTGCATTTTGTTTTTTCCTTTGAACGGATTTCAGAACTTTCCAGCACTAAGATGACATTATCTTTTAATCCCTTCTTACCACGGACGTTTTGAAGTCCCTTTGTACGTCTTTTCTCGTGTGGCAGGGATTTCTCTCCTGACGTAGGCTGGCTTCACACAAAATTCTTGGCTCTCGCCTCTGGATCCAGTGTTTGTCACAGAACTGGTGCGTGCATATGACCACAACGGACGCCCACTGCCACGTGGCTCTGCCCCTTCTTTGGATTCCTGACCCTCATTCACACAGCTGTGGGCGTGAGCTCCCAGCAGCCCCCTCCCTACAGCCCCTCCCACATTAGAACCTGGCATCTGTCTATCATCTGGACATTTCCACCTGCACGTTCCCTGGACCCTCAAACCCTTGTATCCAAGATCAAATAAAACCTTTCCTCTCCAAACCTGCTTTTCTTCAGATTGCCACTCAGTGAAGACCCCCAGACAGAAACCTGGGGGCTTCCATCGCTCTCTCCCCCATCCCCACCTGTACCTGGTGACCAGGATTTGCCTCTTCTGTCTCTGGAACCTAGACCTCTCTTCTCTGTGCACAGCCTGCTCTCAGCTTCAGCTTCCTTAGATCTCGCCTGGATCAGTGCCAGTTTTCCATGACACCTGAGTTAACTTGGGATCCTTCCGGGGGGCTCTCTAGTTTGGGCTGGATGTCCCGTATGTTTGCGTTGCATTTTGTCCCGGGTGTGCTCATGGACGTTGCCCTGTGGATCTTCTTCCAATGCACCGCAAGCTTCTTGAGAGCAGTGCCTGGGCTTTGTCTGAACGGTCAGCTCTGGACAGCGCCTGCCTGACACCGGGTCGAAGCTCAGGGACTGTGGGAGGATGATCTGCAGTTGCCCCTGTGTTGGGGGATCCTGATGGAATCTGACACTGCCTCTCCACCTGGGGCTGGGGTAGTTTCCCCAGGAGCTACATCTCTACATTTGTCCATGGCCCCCTTTGCAATAAGCAACATCAACAGCATTTGAAACAATGTTATGAATAGTATCAGCCAGAGATAAGCTCCTGAAAGGAAATGGATAGGTCAAACAGGGTTCAATGCTGCGGGTTGATTTTTGTGCTCTGTGTAGTAATGCATTGGTTATTCTACATTACTAAAAACCCAGCATATAGGGGACGGTGCCAGTTTGAGACCCAGTTGTTCCGCTTCCAATCCAGCTCTCTGCTTTGGCCTGGGAAAGCAGAAGATGGCCCCATTGCTTGGGCCCCTGCACCCGTGTGGGAGACCCGGAAGACGTTCCTGGCTCCTGGCTTCGGATCAGCACAGCTCCGGCCGTTACAGCCGTTTGGGGAGTGAACCAGCAGATGGAAGACCTCTCTCTGCCTCTGCCTTTAAATAAATAAATATTAAAAACAAAAATAAAACCAGCATAATATACACTAGCATTATACAGCATATACTTAATACACAATAAAATGGCAATGCTGGCTATGACTTTCCGAGTGCTGCCTGTGTGCTTCCTATTCTGAGTGGTATGAGAACATCTCATTTGGTGCTCACAATAACTTCTTAAAGTCAGTGTTATTATTATCCCTGTCTTAAAGCTGAGGGACTGGAGCCCAGACACGTTCAGCAAAATGCTGAAGGTCACTGGCGGCCGGTGCTGGCAGCAGAGATGGGCCTGGCCATCTGCTTTCAGAGCCCATTTGTAGTCACTACTGCCCAACTCAGGGCACCCGTGACTACAGCTATGTCAGGCTCTGCTCAGCTGAGCTCCCGGCCAGCAAGTCAGAGCTGTTGAAATATGGTTTGCAAGCATGCAGAGAGAATGCAGGATTTGTTGCTAACAACCTTTCTGATACTTAGGTAACTTACTCAAATTCAAATAATCTTCAAATGTCACACATGATAAAAAGTTTACCATTATGTCTTTTCTTAGCTACAGTTAAAAGTAGACTTTATTAGAAAGAAATTACTGCTCAAAAATTTCATTTTCTCTCCCTCCCCAACATGATCATTTGCTCATATTATTTAATATGTGTAGGAATGGAGATTATTTTAGAATGTATGGAAAACATATTTAATGCTAAATCACAGATTTTTGCAACCTCTTATTTCATGGTGGAAGAGTGGAAACCAGCTGCTGGCTGCTACCCACACCTTTGAACAGGCTTTCACCTTCCATGGCTCAGTTTGTGCTGTGAATTGGGAAAGATAAGCATAACATGGGCCAGAACTGTGTCGGTGTGAACGTGGCTATGGTAGCCCAAACCATGTAAAAGGCAGCCCAAAGAAGCACTGCCCAAAGCAGCCTCTGACCTGACCACAAGGTCTCTACCCCACTGAGCAGGTTTGAGATTTAAAAAAAAATGTGATTGCATGAATATGGGTGAGGAATACAGCCTTAAATTTTATCTTATCTCTGTTGTCCACTGACCTGTATTACCAGCCATAAAAATGTGATCCACTCTGCCTGCTAGTTGGAAACTCCACAGAAATGGAGGGGAGAGCAGATTCTATTAATTCACTGCTTTACACACAAGCTTAAACTGTGTCTGCCCTGAGTCCTGGCTTATAGGATCAGCATTCACAGTGATGTTAAGACCACTGCTTCTGGGGGCTGGCGCTGTGGCCTGCAGTGCCGGCATCCCATAGGGGTGGCAGTCCTGGCTGCTCCACTTCCAATCCAGCTCTCTGCTGTGGCCTGGGAAAGCAGCAGAAGATGGCCCAAGTCCTTGGGCCTCTGTACCACGTGGGACACGCAGAGGAGGCTCCTCTTCGGATTGACACAGCTCTAGCTGTTGTGGCTATTTGGGGAGTGAGCCAGTGGATAGAAGACTCACTCTCTCTCTCTGCCTCTCTGTAACTCTGCCTTTAAAATAAATAAATAAATCTTAAAAAAAAAACCAACACTTTCTTAGTTATCATCATTAAGCACCAGTTCTAAGTTTGTGAACATCACTTGCCATCACGTCATTGCAGAGTATACAGTGAGTCAGGTTCTCAAGGATTTAAGGAAATGCGGAACAGCTTTTTACAATTAGGAGAATCATGATCTACGACAAAATTACCAATACGGCACTTAAAAGCTGCACACGAATGAATGCGGCAATTACTGCTTCAATATGAAGAAGTAAAAAACAAAGAAACTGTTGTTAAAATTGCCAAGCTGCTCCAGGAACGTCCCGGGCCAAGTCACTCCCCAATTTGTCTGGTTTCTCAGGGAGCATGTCTGGACTATGCTCTCTACAGAGAAGACAACCCAGAACAGAGAACAGCCAGGAGCTTCAAGTACATCTACAGGAAGGGACTGTTCACAGCAAATGATCAACATCATTACGTCAACATAATAGCTGATAGCTAATAGTTCTTTAACATCCTTTGAAAATGAAAATTGTAGACGTTAACTTGGCATTGAAAATTCATGAGAACATTTGTTAGTAAAATATATCTATAGGAAAGGCCTTCAAAAAATTCATGGACAAACGGAATTAGAGGATAATGTCAATGTTCCATTAACTTTTTTGAAGCCTGCTCCTATGTGAGAAAAACTATAAAATATTTCTGCAATATTTGCTTGACAGTATTTTAAATATGAAATTTGATATTTTCTATGCAAAATTGGATGACATCAGCTATCTGGTCAAAACTCATACAGCTGGAACTTGACATCTTTGCTTTTCATTCTATGTGAACTACACTCCAATTAGACACAAAAATAATCCTCAAAACTCTCAAGGTCACAAACAAGAAAAGTCTGAGGGTCTAGGGAGATGTGAGGACTGCACAGAACGTGGTATCCTGGGTGGGACCCCAGAACACAAAAAGGAAATTGAGACATGTAGTGTGGAGCTCAGTTAATGACAATGCATCAACACCAGCCCATTCTTTAAGACAAAGGTGCCACAACAACAGTGTAAGATACTAACAGTGGGATGGGGGTGGGGTGGGGGTGGGGTTTCAACTTTTCTGAAGTCTAAATTCAAGCTAGACTTTTTTAAAGCTTATTTTTAAAAATAGAAGCAAGCAGAATAGAATCGGAAATGAATAATGTAGCAGCTATCCAAGACGCTGGAGGAAGGTGAACAACACGAACACTAAAATATCAGTGTACCTTACCTACTTCAAGCGGTAAGTGGACACTAGTCATTGAGGGCCAATGTTCTCTATCTGCTCGGCATGAGCACTGAATAGACCAACCTTCCATCAGCTTTGCCTTCCCCTGATCCAACAGTGCAGGCTGTCATTACCGCGCTGATTTTCTAGCTGGGCTTATGTTAAAAATAAACCAGTGTAGTTTTTAGTTTCGGCGCGAGCATCGTCCTGATTGCAAATTATCTACCGCCGCCGCTCTGTCCTGCGTGAGCACCGCCTTCACCCTTCCCAGATGAGAAACCCATCTCGTGTCCGCCACAACGCTTCCTTCTCAGGGCTGAGTGCGTGCCTGTGGGGAGACGTGGGAGAACCCTCGCTTTACCGTGCCATCCACGTCTCTTTGTTGAGCACGCCTTTATGTTGTCACCCTAATCGTCACCACGAAAGCCTGTGGCTCCGCGTGTCACACACACGGGGTCCTTGCTCATCCTGGATGGGAGCCTGGGCTTTGCAGCGCCTGGAGCCGCCGCGTCCCGGCCCAGGTGCGGGAGGCGCGGGTGCTGCGGTACCTTCGCTCTAGGGGCGCGCGGCCAACCTCGGGAACGGCCCTGGCGACAACATAGCGCTCTCTCTCTCTTAATGGTGCCGGAACAGCGGCTGGCCGAGAGGCCCAGAGCCCACGAAGACCGAAAGGAAGACGAGGCCGGCCCAGAAGTAGGAAGAGACGGGCTGCCGCGGCAGCCACGGAGTACAGCTCTCTGCGCAGCCCGGCCTCCAGCAACCGGTACCGGGTGCTGCTGCCAGCGTCGCCGCGCTGCCAAGGGAACCCGTCAGCGCCCCCTGTCCCCCTCCCCAGCGGAGCCCCGGGTTTGTTACTGGAGATCCGCGCCCCCCCCCCCGCCCCCGGGCGCCTCGCTTCCTCCCCGCCCCCAGCAGCCCTGCGGGGAAAGCAGCGCCAGCACTCTGCCTCCGCACCCAGTGGCCGATGGCGCAGTGGCGGCCCGGTCGCGCGGCCCCTCTCCTGCTCCGCCCCGGCGCATCCGCGGCCGGCGCCCCCCACACCGAGCGCGGGCCGAGAGGGGTCGAGGCCACCGCCCCAAATCTCCGGCCGCAAGTGACCACTCCCTTGCCTCGCCTGCTCTTGAAGGGGTAAGGGGAAGACACGGCATCTACCCCAGCCCTCGGCTGTGGGCCATTTCCGTAACGCGCCGTGGGCGTCCCTGGGAGGCGAGGCTGGGTCATTGACTTGGGCGGCTTCGCTCACACTCGCAGCACGTCCCGCCCTGACCGCGGCCTCCAGGGCGCACGGAGGGGTCCTCATGGGACGCGCCCGCCCGACCTCTCTCGCTGACGTCCTTCGCAGAAGCTCGCAAGGCGGCCCCTGGTCACTCTACCCACCAAGCCTCCTCGCGGGTCGTGGCGAATCCTCTGGCTCTGGAGACCCCAGCAGCCCTGCACCTGGGCCTGAAAAACCCTCCTCCAGCGAGGGAGGGCCCTGTCGCCCCGGGCCATAAATGTTAATAAACTGCGCGGCTCAGGGCTTGATGACCTACCTACCTTTAATGGCAACTCAGCTAAACAACAACAACAACAAAAACAACAACAAAAACGCCTTGTGCCCCTGCGGTCTCCGTGAATCGGGGTCGTTTGGTGTATGTATCATACACCTTCCCCCGGGTCGGAGATGTCTTATGCATTCAGCCGCCCAAGCTGGAAACCATATGCTGCGCCTCTGCGCTCAGAGATTCGAGGTGGCGTCGGCGCGCGCTCTCCCGCCTCTATTTCCCCGGTCCCCGCCGCTAGAGCAAGAGGCTAAGGATGTGTTGGTAATAATAGGCGGCCCCTGGAGAAAGTGCTGTTCGCCCCGGGTTTGACCCGAAGGCACCTGCGGCGGCTGCCCGGGCCCTGGGTGACGCCTGCGGGTCAAGGAAGTTCCTGGGCGTCGCTGCACAGGGAAAACGGCCGTGGCGGCTCCACCGCGGCCAGGGTAGTTCGGCCTGCAGGCCCGGCTAACTCGGTGCCCGGCAACATTGTGGGGGGCTCCTCCCGGTGTGCCTAAGGGGCTGCGCGCCGGCGAGAAAGGGCGCCCGGCCGCTCTGGGGTGGCCACTCACCGCGACCCACCCCCAGGCCGTAGGTTGGGGTCGAGGTCGTGGCTGCTGACACCCCCTGCCACACCACAGCTTTTCCTAAAGCCATGCCGAAGCTGAGAACCGAGAGATCCATGCCAGGGAGGCCCTGCCGCGCGCTGTCAGCGCATGTGGTCCGGGCCTTTCCCAGCGGAGCGGGCTGGCCCTTCAGACTCCGGCAATGGCCTGATTGGCCACGCCTGGGGCCTTGGATAGCGCCGGCCCCGCACCCGTCCGCTGCTGCACCGCGCGTCCCAGAGGCTTGCTGGGCCGGGTGAGGCCTTCCTAACCCAGCCAGACAGACTCAGGAAAGCCTGGCCGCGCTCAGGCTGGGTGAGCGCGGGATGGCCCTGCTTCCCGTACGCAGACCTGGCCACAGGGACGTCCAAGGCACCACGGTAGGCCAGGATGAGCTGCCGAATTATTTCTTGCCCGTTTATTTCAGTTCGAGGTGTTGTGTGCCCACAAGAGCTGCCCAAGGCAGAGGAGAGGTGCTGTGCACTCCCTGGGAATATTTTGCTGATTTAAAAAAATCTGCACATTCCCATTTGCATTGCATCAAGATAAAAGCTCAAAATGCAAAACAAAGATTTAGGTAGGACAGCCACAGTGGTTAAGTGAGCACTCATTCTATTTCAGTTTAAAATTCTGACCAATGCTGAGGCCCAGTTAAAAGAAATCTCTACAACCTGAGGCGCCAGGGATCAGATTGTGCCGCTCACTGAGGTGCAAGAATGCAAACATCCACGGACATGACCAAAAACAGTCCCCTAGCGTACTTCAAGACTGAAGATTTTGAAGCCTGCGATCTTGTAGCTACTTTTGCAGGCCTCTCTCAGAGGCAAGATCAGCTGACCAGTTTCCTGTTTTATTATCCTAAGCTCCAGGGGCTGGCAGCAAGTTGTTTAGTGATGCCCAGTGTTGGGGGTGGGTAATTTTGGTGATCAGGCAAGAGATAAGCACAATCAGCACTTTGCATCTTCCCTCTGGATTCCCACCCTCCAGCCCTGGGGCACCTGGATAGGACAGCACTCAGAGCTAGGGAAAAGGTGGTGCATGAACACAGGGCACGGGCAGCAAGACACAGCGGGGAGGCTGGGTATTGTTCTATCCTTGTATCAACAGGTGTTCAGTGCAAGGGCCCAGAGCTACATGTGGGTGAGGTGGGGTTCTCCATCGCTAAAGGGACATTTAGTTTGAGCAGTCTTTTTTTTTTTTTTTTTTTTTTTACTATTTATTTGAAAGGCAGAGTGACAGAAAGGGACAGAGAGATCTTCCATCCACTGGTTTACTCACCAAATGCCTGCAACAGCTAGGATTAGCCCAGGCCAAAACCAGAATCCAGGAAATCCACCAGGCTCTCCCATATAGATGACAGGAACCCAAGCACTTAAGCCATCATCTGCTGCCTCCTGGGCACATAACAGGCACAGAGTAGCTGGGACTTCAACCAGACACCCTGGTTCTGGGTGCAGCGTCCCAGGGGATGACATAACCTCCTGTGCCCCAGGGCTGCCTTGTTTAGAACCAGTCCTAGGAGCCTGTATTCTGTCCCACCTTTCTTTCTGCCCTGTGGTGGGAGCTGAGCACTCACAAAGACCCTCACTCCCTATCCCTTCACTGCACAGGTGGGGATCTGGAAAACCACCATGGGAGTTTTCTCCAATTGTCTTGGAGACTCTCACTCAATGAAGAACGGTTGCACCAGGCTAAGACAGGCCTTTGGAAATTGTCCTTTGCCAATGACAGTCTTGGGATCTCTCTCTTTTCTCCTTGCATACTCTTTCCTATCCATATTCACAAATCTGCCAGGGTTTTTTGTATTTTTTTTCACACTTTTGAGCTTGATAATCATCAAATTCACGTACCCACTTGCCTGTCCCAAATATCACACACAGCTCCTGGTCTTCCGTGTAGTAAAAAGCTGAAAGCTGAGTTTGCCTTCTGCTGGCTAAGCTGGGCTCAGCCTCATCCCTACCCTCTCCAAATAAGGCAGTACTGGAGCAGGGGGCCAGGAAGCTGCTGAGGCCGGCCTTGAGGCAGAAAGAACTGCACACACTAGTTCCATGTTCAAGCATTGGCGCTCCAGCAGGAACTACATGTTAACACCTGCTATGGATGCAGGACTTCAGACTGGACAGAGTTCTCACTGGTTCCTTCTGATGGCTCCTTATGATCTATGTTTGCGGGTGAGGAAGCTGAGACTTCTGGAGAGAGATGCTGTGACCAAGCCTAGGCTACATGGAGAAGAATGGGCATCCTGTGAGCTGCTCTGGGTTCTTGGGACCACACTGATGGCTGTGAAGTCAGCAGGAGACACTGTGAATGCAGATTGCTTTTTGGAGAGATGGCTTTGCCTTGGGATTCACACCGCATCTCTGCTCTGCCTGGCACGGAATGTGCACAACACAACTCGCAGCAGCAGCAGAGAGACTAGTGGGGGGTGCCCAACAGGAAGCAAGGTGCAGCCCAGGAATCAGAGCCAGCCTCAAGTGAGAGCCAGGTGGGTGCATGGGACAAAGGCTTCCAGCCGGAGGCTTTGATTAGCAATGCAGGCCCTGCACTGGGACGGTTTTGTTTTCCCTCAGAAGCTGCTGGGTGTGACATTTATTAGCCCTCAACATTCGACAATCTCAGACCTGCAATACCTACTGGGTTTAAATAGTACAGAGACCCAGACACGCCCGCCATTCATTGGCCTGAAAACCAACACTAATCTATACCTCGCACCTGCCTAGGGCTTGAGAAAATAAGACCAGGACCTAAAAGCTGCAAATACATGCTTTTTATTTTCTGCTTGGGTTTTCATCTTTGCTCCTTAGAGTTGCTCATGAACTCAGCCTGCTGGTGTGGAAAATACTGGAAGAGAGACGATGGTGTTCTTTGAATGGCAGCGCTGGGCCTAATGAGCCATTCACCACAGCAGTGGCACTGTGCTAAGCACTTGCCATGCACTGACTTATCTTCATGGGAACCCTATAAGGGAAGTACTAGAAGTACCCATGTTACAGGTGAGGATAAGGAAAGCCCTGCCTATACGTTGCAGTCAGGATTTGAATAATTTTTGTTCCTCTTTGAATCAGCAGGTGCCACCAAACAGGCAAAGTCAGTTTCACCAACATTGTGGTCACTAGAACAAGTCTCACCATCTTAGCTAGAAGACATTTCAAGGCAATCTCTCCTCCCCACTTTCCCTCCAAATATCAGAGCTGAGACTCCTGCAGGGCTGGAGGTAAGTGGCAAGTATTAAATGTGGGATGACAGGTCCTCGTGGGTACTAGTGTAACCTGACACATCCCCCACGGCTGCGGGTCAGCAGCGCCCCGGGCAGATGCTCGCGTGCAGTAGCTCAGAACGACTCCTGCAGGGCTGCTACACCAGTGACATTCATTCAGCTTACACAGGTTACTCACGCAAGGCCTCTCGTGTTCCGTGTGCTCCCTTTGCGCTTGTCTTTAGTTGTGGAAAGAAAAGCTGTGTCCACTTCCGCTTCCGCAGAAGTGGCACACTGAGCTTCGCACAGCAGCCAGCCGCCCTCGGCATGGAAAGGAAGCGGGCAGCTCCCCAAGACGCGCTCTCTCGGGGGATTTCCCCCTCTGCTCACATGGCGACTTGCTTCACCAGTGGTTCTTACCTTGTTCCCCGCTACCCACTAGGCAACCGGGCACACGGTCCCGGGACGCTCTGTTGCTCGCTGTCCTCACACCCTCTTGCCTCTTGGCTCACATGCAGGTCAGAAGCGGGAGCCAGGCTGTTGAAAGGGGATGTCTGTGGAAGGAGTTTCAGGTATGGTTTGTCTCAGTCTCCATTCTTTCTGTCTACCTTTGGCAAGGCAGAGTAGGGCCGTCAGCCTCAGGTCTCTTCCTGCGAGTGAGGCCCCTTGGTGCAAAAGGACAGGCTCCTGCCAGCTCCGCAACAGACACCTCTCCTTGTCTAATCTCCTCCACTGTCCACAGAACTGAGGTGGGGGTGAAGTGAACCGTTTGCCTTGGGCACAAAAGATTCAAAAGTGCCAAAAGCTCGTGGTCATGATAAATATTTAATGCAATCTTTTTTACAAAGTCAAAATTAACACAAAAATATCTGTGATTGGCAAGAACTTAGAATTTTAATTAAAACGGTATTGCACATACTTCCTGTCACCTCAGTCTCCAATGTGGCGAGTCATGGCACTTCTTGTGTCTCTTTCCCATTATTGGGAGGAAGGGCTGGCACCATGGCTCACTTGGTTAACCCATTAATGGGAGGAGATGAGTGGGGATAAAGCTAACACCCTGGTGTAACAAACCAGAGAAAGTAGATGTGAATATCCCAAGGGGATTTGTGATAACTAATAGAGCACCTAAAAGGAAATCTGTAGAAGTAAAATTGACACTTCGAGAAGCAATGACTCCAACAGCCCTTGTCTTGACTGTCAAGGAACTTTCTTTTTTAATTTTTTTCCTCCTCTTCATACTATTTGTTGAACTCTTTATTGAACATAGAGTTAATCATATGTGTATAAAGTCAATTGAAAATAGATCTCAGTAAAAAATAAGAGTGGGAATAAGAGGGGGAGGAGGATGTTTGTAACTGTAAAGCTGTATAGTTCTGCATACATTCCTACAGACTTACTTTTAAGGGTACAGTTTAAAAACTTGCCATGGGACCCAAAATCCAATTAAGCTGGGTGGTAAAAATGCTATCTTAAGGGTTAAAGTGACAATATTAAGTGTTAAAGTGATCATATAGATAGGATTAAGCATTAAAGGTATAAAATAAAATTAAATGTCTGGTAATAAGAATAGAATGAAAAAGGAAAGAATGTTCCAACATGGGAAGCGATCCACACAGCAGACTCATAGAATGACAATCCGTTTTAAATAGCACTCTGACCTCAGAATCAGCCCTTAAGGCATTTTGGTATGGCTGAAAAGCCCACAAGAGTGTTTCAGTCATAGAAGGCCAACCACACTATGGCAAAAAAATGTCTTACATGAGGGATCTCTGTGAGAGAGACCCCAATGGAAAGACGTGGCCATCAAAGAAGGATGTACTTTTCTCTGAAGGGAAGAGAGAACTTCCACTTTGCTTATTGCCTTGTCTAAATACTGAGGGAGACTGTGGATTCAAAGGCTTCCATAGCCTTGGCTGCTCATGCAAGAGCCTTGGGTGTTCACTTACGTCATATATAAGAGTGTTAATTGTTAAAATAACAATAGGAGTCACTGTGCACTCATTTTCCATGCAGGCTTTTTATCCTCAATGAGTTATATTAAGGAAGTTAACTGTAAAACTTGTTGTCAGTTTCTTGTGTGTATGTGTGTGTGTGCATGCAAATTGTTGAAATCTTTACTTAGTACAGAATTGGTCTTCTGTGTAGAAAGTTAATTGAAAATGAATCTTAATAGAGAATGGGACTGGAAATGGGAGAGGGAGGAGGAGGTGGGGTGGGAGTGTAGGTGGGAGGATGGGTATGGTGGGAAGAATCACTATATTCCTGGAGTTGTACTTATGAAATTTGTACTCCTTAAATAAAAGGTTTCTTTGGGAAAAAAGAAAGAGTAGATGTGAGCAAAATCAAACCACAAGTAAACCAACGCACTGGAGAGTGAGTGTATCGGGAGTAGTATATAAATAACTGCATGGGTGGCAGTAAAGATTTTCATAGAGAATAATTTGCCTCTCAAGCTGTCACCTTGTTTTCAGCAATTAGTAAAAACCTTGAAATAATTTAAAGCATTTCATAGACACATACTTCCCCGAGTCCCCCAACCTCGTTGATGACAATATTCGGTGTTTTTAGAGTACATACTTACTTTCCAAAGCATTTTGAGATGCATATTATTTCATTTATTCTCTTCTTTCTCTGAAAATGGATGGGAGGATTGAAGAAGAAAAACAAAAGTCATTCTTTGATGGCTGGGTATTGAGCTAGTTACTTTATATATGTTTTCTGATTTTTTTTCCCAAATAACCCTGGGCTTTAGGTGTGATCATCTCCTGTTTGCAAATCAAGAAACTGAAATCCAGGACCATTGGCTGGTTAATTAGCTAGCAATGTTCTCAGAATAGTATTACAACTCTAAAGGGCCAAGTAGATCAAGACTTTTCATGCTTGCTTCAGAAAGCAGTCCAAGCCTCTATTGTCTGGCTGAAGTAACTTGGAGATTTTTTCTTTGCTTCTTCTCTGTAATCAACTCTGTACCT